CGCTCCGAGCACCCCGCCTGCCGCCCCTGCCTCCCCCAGACGCTCCTCCGCCAACATACCTGGCCGAAAGGCTGGTGCCCTCTTTGCCCGCTCCAGCGGGCCGCTCAGGCCTACTGCGATCCATGTGAGCTTGGCAGTAAAGCCTCTCTGTTGCACTAAAACATGACTTTGTGTTGTTTAACTCTGACCTGTTGACTAGAACTGTTTGATGCACAGAGAGAGTACCAAAGGAAAGGACACACATTCTTCTATATTGCTGAGAGGCTAGGTGTCCAATATAGCGGTACTTTCTGGCTTTAGACTCCTGTACTTGCCTGTTCTGTAAATATCTCTTGGAAGTTGCCTCTAAGAAAAGAGAGCTAGAGATCTTGGATCTGTGCTGGCTTTGTGCCTATTATAGATTCCTATTTGAATTAAAGGTGTGCCTTCCAATATTAATCTAAGTCTTTCAGCTATTGTTTTTTATATTTCTTGGATGTTACCTTTACTTTCATTACGCTTTTTATTCACAGTACATTTTTTGCTGCTTTGCAAGCCAGTAATAACGTACATGTGGCTGCAATGAAATCAGCTGTGAATCCCTTTGGTAGTAAGATTAAAGGTGATTTTTATTATGGGACAAAGGGTATCAGGCCAAAAATATTTTTTATTCAGGTTATCTTTTTTATATTTTCATCATGCCCCTTTTCTAGCAAGAAACAGAAACGCACAATGACATAAGCTTTGCTTTTTCACTTGTTTTCTTTGATAGCTTAGCCTACATGTTTAGCAAGGAAGAACAATTTATTAGGATCTTAGGTGGGACCTAAGTAGACGTGGCTCATATGGACTTCTGTAGAGACTGACCTCTCCATCATTTCATAAGACTGTGGTAATGAAATAGGCTGAACAAGAAAGTCCTTAACAGTATGAAGACTAAAGAGCTTGTTCTCTGTAATGCATGTGAATTATGACAGCTATATGACTGGACATAATATTAATACCAAACAAGTAATATAGCATATCATAGCACTAATTCTTTACATATAGTATGCTGGGAGCCTATAATAAATAATCCATATGACTCAACATTTAACATTAAAATTAATTCTTTGTAGCACCTGCGCACCCTAATAATGGCCCATAGTCACGTTTAGCGAGGTGCAAGACAAACCGGACAAGACGATTATATAGCTTAAGCATATAGAAATAACACATCAAGATAATCAAATTCCCCAAAATAAAAAAAAGACTAGGGGATGAAGCTGGTTAGCACAGTAGGTGATGGTCCTACCACATCATTAGCCTAACCATGATATTATTCTATTGCATTATGTTACTGTTTGGAAAACAATTTACAACCACACGTGTAACTGCTGTGTCATAGCACACACAGGATATCTGAGGCAAGGCCTGGCGTTTGATCTGTACTTTCAATTTCTTAAAAATTTATACAAGCTGAGGACATGCCTCAGAATATTTTCAGTTCAATGTTGTCTAAACATAGAGCTTTTACAATTAATTTCCTCAGCTTGTCTTGAAACAGAAACAACCTGAAGATTTTAAACAGTGATAGATAGGTATCTGGCTCTATAGCCCTCTTGCAAGGGAGAGGGTAAACTAGAACTAGTCCCATGATCCTCAGAAATTCTGCAGAGAAAGCTGCAAGGCAGCCTTTTCTCAAAGAGAAAATTTTAAACTGTTCAACCTTAGAGGGCTGGGCCTTCTAAGCTTTCAGTTTCTACCAAAAAACAACTAATCACAGGTCCATAGTTTCTAGCCTTGTAAGTGCCCATATGCTCCTGGACCATATTTGGGCACTGCAGAACTTGAGAACGCTGCAGATCTGATCCTCTCCAAAGCTCTGGCCTCGCTGGAGATGTTGTACTGCACAGGGCCAGCATGTAGTTTTTGCACGGCTCCTAAGCAACCTGAGTAAATAGAACATTTCGCAACCTTAACCACAGTGGTTGCTGCACTTTCATCTATAATTATCTTTTGCATCAGAGCTCTCCAGAGCACCGGCCTACCAGCTTTTGCAGGATATTTTGCATTCTGCTTCCATTTGTCTGCCTTTTCTCTTGCACTGGCAGTCAGGATAATATTCCCCAGA